GGGCTGGGTTGTGGCTCAGCGGTAGAGCACTCAACCTAGCACGTGCGAGGCCCTGGGTTCGATCCTCAGCACCACATAAAAATAAATAAACAAAATAAAGGTATTGTGTACAACTACAACTAAAAAAAATTAATATTTTAAACAAATAAAAATCATCACAAAAAAGAGAACCACGTACAAACAGAGATATGAAAAATTGTGCTCTATATGTGTAATATATATAGTGTAATGCATTCTGTTGTCATATAACAAAATAAAATTTAAAAAATAAGAATTTAAGAGAGAGAGAGAGAGAGAGAGGGGAAGAGAGAAAGAGAGAACAACCACAAGCTTGCAAAGAGGGCACCCAACTTATACTAAACATACTCTACCAGGACATCTGCCCAGCAGTTGTTTGCTCAACACCAAATTGATGCCACTCCTGTCATTAATCACTGTTGCCAAAGATTATTGTTTCAGAATAATTGATGGAGTGTGCTTTCTTTTTACCTTTATAAACCTCCTCTTGCCTCAATCTCTTTGAATATACCCATATTTTGCTATGGCGTGCATATCCGCATTGTGGTACTCTGCTGTTCCCATATAAACATCAGTATTCCTTAGTCAACCACTCTGTTTTTTGCTTAGGTTGACGTGAGGTATCTAGAGTACTCATATTCATACAGACAGAAAATAAAATGGTGCTTGCTAGGGGTTGGGGGAGGAGAGAATGGGGAGCTAGTTTTTAATATGCACTGAGTTTCAGCTTGGGAAGATGAAAAATGTTCTACAGATAACATGAAAGATACATTAAAGAGAGAGAGAAAAAGGATTCTATCCACTACCTCAAACACTTCTCAAAAATACACATTATTGTAAATGTCCTCAGTGCCACTGAACTTTACACTTAAAGATAGTTGAAATGGTAAATTGTGTATTATGAGTATATATGTGTATTATATTTTTACTACAATTTTTAATGCTTACTGATTACAGAGTTTTAGTTGTATAAGATGAAAAGACTTCTGGAGATGGGCTACATGATGTGAATGTACTTGACAGTACAAAACTATATATTTAAATATGGTTAAGATATAAAGGACATAGGATATAGGGTTAATACACAAATGCCAATTCCTTTCCAATAAACTAGTAAAAAGTGGAATTTGTAATTAAAAGCCCATTGCCATTTACCTTAACACTCCCCAAAATGAAACAGGTATATCTAAAAAGATGTATAAGATGCATATGAAGCAAACTATAAAGCCCTAATGAAAGATATCAAAGAATAACTAAAATCTGTGTTCAGGGATAGAAAGAGCCAACCCTGTTACGATGTCAATTTTTCCCAACTTGGTTTATATTTCCACAAGTATTTTGAGGATTGCAACAAAATTGTTCTAAAGTTTACATGAATAGGCAAAAGACCCAAAATAACCAACCTAATTTTGAAGAACAGTAAGAGGGCTGATATTATTTGAACCTCAAGATTTAAAGCAATCAAGATAATATACTATTAGAGAACGAACAGGAAATTAGATCATGGGAAAGGAAAAAAAGCCCAGAATGAGAACCAGATTAATAAACTGATCTTTGACAAAGGAGCAAAGGTAATACAATGAAGCAATGATACATTATTAAATAAATGATGTTGAAACATTAAAGAGAGAGAGAAAAAAGATTCTATCCATTACCTTAAACACTTCTCAAAAATTAACTCAAAATGAATTAGACCTAAATATAAAATGCAAAGCTACAAAATTCCTAAAAAGATAGCAAAGAGAAAATCTAGAGGTCCCTGAGCCTGGTGGTGATTGTTTTAGGTACAAAAATCAAAGGCAAGAAATCATTGATAAACTGCACTTAATTAAAAATCTAAAACTTCTCAGAAAAAAAAATAATCCAATTTTAAAGTAGGCAAATGATCTGAAAATGCAGGTATCAAAAAAAGATACACAGGTGGCCAACAAGTATGTATAAAAAATTCTCAATATTACAAATCATGAGGAAGATGCAAATCGAAATGACAACTAGATTATCATTTTGCTCTAATTAGAATGGCTATAATCAGAAAGACAAAAATAACAAATGCTGGTGAGGATGTGTAAAAAAAGGGAAATCTTCTACACCATTTGTGAGAATGTAAATTAGTATAGCCATTATAGAGAACAATATGGAAGCTCCTCAAACAACTAAAAACAGAACTGATATATGATCCAGCAAGCCCACTACTGGATATACATCCAAAGGAAATTAGATCAGTGTATCAAACAGATACCAGCACTCCCATGTTTATTGCAGTACTCTTTCTTCACAATAGCCAAGATACGGAATTGACCAAAATGTTCATCAACAGATCAATGGATCAATGGAATATTATTCAGCCATAAAAGAATGAAATCCTATCATTTGCAGCAACATGGGTGGAACTGGAAACAATTAAGATAGGTAAAATAAGCCAGACACAGAAGAAAAAATACTGCATGTTCTCATAATATATGGAAGCTAAAAATATTAATTTCATAGAAGTTAAGAGAAGAACAATGTTACTGGATGTTAGAAAGATGGGGGGAGAAGTGGTAGAGAGAGGTTGGATGATGGATACCAAAATACAATTACATTGGAGAAATGAGTTCAAATTTCTATAGCACGTTAGAGTGACTATAGTTCACAACAATTTATTACATTTTTTATAATAACTAGAAAATAGGAGTTAAAAGGTTACCATCACAAAGAAATAATAAATATTTAAGGAAACAAAACATGAAAATTACTCTGACTTTATCGTTGCACATTATATACACATATCAAATTATTACATTGTACCCCATAAATATGATCAATTACTGTGTGTCAATTAAAATGAAAAAAGTAAATTCAACTAGTGTTGAAGATCTATCTGGTATTAAATTTCACCTGGATCCAATAATCCCTTTTTTGGCTATATGTCAAAGGAAATGAAATCAGCACCTCACAGAAACATGTGTGCTCCTGTGTTCACTGCAGCGTTGTAAGTGTTCAACAACAGATGAGTAGATGAAGAACACGTGGTCCATATACATAACATCATGCTATTTGGCCTGAAAAAAGGAGGATTCCTGTCATTTGTAACCTGGGTGAACCTGGAGGACATTATGATAAATGAAATAGGCTGGACACAGAGGGACAAATACCACAGGCACTCAGTTGTATGTGGGAATCTTTAAAAGTTGAGTTCTCAAAGAAGCAAAAAGCAGAATGATGGTTACCAGGGCAGGGATGGGAGGAGGAGGAGGAGATGTTGGTCAAAGGGTACAATAATTTTAGAAATAAAACTTCCAGACATCTATTATGCAACATGGTTACTAGAGTAAATAAGAGTGTTCTGTATTATTGAAAAACTTTTAAATGAAGAATGGGAGGAGATATGATGATAAAAAGCACAGAAAAATATTTTTAAACTTCAGCTCTATAAAAGACAATGCAAAGAGAATGAGAAGACAAGCCACAGATTAGGAGGAAAATGTTTGCAAAAAACACATCCAATAAAGGACTATTATTCAAAGCACACAAAGAACTCTTAAGTCAACAGTAATTGGCATGTTATAATTTATACATTATACTAAAAACAGAACTGTCAACCATTTATCAAGTTTTGCATAATAACCAGAGAATATCCTCAATTATCCAAAAAGGCTATCAAAAAAATTCCTCCCTTTTTCAAATACATACACTAGATTTTCTTCACATACACATTAAATGAAACATTCAGCAAGAGACTGAAAGCAGAAGATACAAGATCTAGCTGTCTTCAATTAAGGCAGATGTTAAAGAGATTTACAAAAATGTCTGTATTTTACACTGTTCTATTTTTTAATATGATTCGTTTTAAAGTATATTACTTATGTTAATAAGTTAATATACATTCTTGAATTTCTATTTTATTATATGCTAAATATTGACATATATAAACACACATAAACAAAAAGTCTTTGAGGATCTCCAAAACTGTTAATGTGTAAAGAAATTCTGAATCCAAAAAGTTTAACCACCACTAAATTAAAATATTTCGTGTGGTATATAAACTGAATGCAACCCCACAAAATTCTCATGCTGAATCCTGAAGTCCCAGTGTGACAGTATTTACCCTTATGTTGGGATTATGAGGCCTAGAAAGCTTGACACAGAGAGGTCATGTGGGAGTACACATGTAGAAGGCAATTGTTTATAAGCCAGGGAAGGGAGGGAATCACTAAAACCCAACCATGCCCAACTCTGCTCTTGGCCTTCCAGACCCCCCACTGTGAGAAAATTCATTTCGGTCTTTTCAACTATATAGTCTATGGTATTTTGTTAGGGCGGCTGGAGCTAATATAGATTGGAAATAATCCAAAAGTTCATTAATAGAAAAACTGCTAAATTGGTTACTTCCAAATAGTAGAACATGAGAGAGATGAAAGGGGAAAGGCACTCCATGTGCTGACACAGATGGCAAGACTCAGAACAAGGTGTAAAAAGGGAAAGAATAAAAACAAGTATCAACATATTTTACAGGCATCTAATCCTCCTCAGCTCTGTTTTAAATATGTGAGGCCTCTTCCCAATGTTCTTATCTCTCCTTAGTACCTATGCATCTTCACTGAATCTTTTTTTAAATTTATTTCAGGACAAATTATTATGGTATGCAGCACAATCTTTTATTTTGGAACAAACAGTTTTCCCAGCAGTCAGGGTTTGGGGGTTTTGTTTGTTTTGTTGAGTTTGGAGTTCAAGAAGTTTCTGAAGTACTTTTTGAAGAGCCTGAAAACTTGAGATTTGGACATGAATGACAGAGCCACAAGAAAGGTAGCCCCCAAATTCAGATTCAGAATAGAGATTTGTCCTGGAGCTTATCAAAATTATACTGCCCCTCTACGAGTGGCTTCTCTGGCCCAGGGGAGTAATCAAAGGAGGCCCGTTTTCCAAGGTGTCGCGAGCTTTGGGTCACCATTAGAGGACAGCAGCACACATTCAAAGAGGAAAGTCCTTCCCCTGCCCCTCACCTGAGAACAGTGTCTCCTTTGGCTTACTGGATGTTGACGTGAACAAGCCACCGAGCCCAGCAAGCAGCACCATTAGGCGGAACATGGTCTGGTTCCTCGGCTCTGAGCGGGGACTGGCGGGGGCCGTTGGGCCGCG